GCCTAGAGAAAGGGTTTGCAAAAGAGGTATCCAAGAAGATAAACTACCTTGCTGTAGCTGCTGCTCAGGATGAGGGATCTCAATTGCTCTTGCTTCAAGCAATTGAAGGCTTCTGTGGGAAGTCGAGCTCTAGTGCCTTGAAGGAAGTTGCCCTTGTTTTAAAAGCTCTCTATGATGTTGATATCTTGGAGGAAGAATGCATAGTGCAGTGGTATCAAGATGGACTGAAGGGTGGGAGCAAGAACTCTCAGATTTGGAAGAACGCCAAACCATTCATTGACTGGCTCCAGAGTGCTGAGTCTGAAACGGAGGAGGATTAATGTTTTCATTTTTTATTCTTTTTATTCTTGCTCATGTCTTCTGTTGTTGCTAGGCTTGCTGTCGTCACCAATAACGTGAAATAAAGAGGTGTTGCTCTTAGTCCAGTACTGTCAAAAAATTCTACTATGCCCTGCAGTACCTATAAGATCTGTGTGTTATCTGGGATTTTGATTGGTATCGGAATGTTGAATATTGTTTCCAATATATGTTTGCTATTTGCATGTTTCAAAATTTTAACCGTGATCTCATTTTGCTTTGCCAACAAAATTGCTGATGCCTCCTGATCCCTTCAACCAAATTCATGTTTCTATTTTGTTACTGACATGAAGACTTCAACCGTTCTCCGATGTTGACTGGTGGTAGCCGATACCACTATTTGAGGGAGGGGTAAGAGGGGCTTTAGCCGGGGAACTCCCAGACACCGGGGCAAGAGGCTCAAACCTTTCCTCCCTTTCTGAACCCTGCGCCTTTGGCCCCTCAAATTCTCCCTACAATAAATCTTAGGGAGTTTCACTAAAACACCAAAAATAGGAGCTTAAATTATAAAAAAACTCAAGCATTATTTAAACATATAAACACACCCAAAATTCATCATTACACACACTCAAAATCCATTTATAAACACACCCAAAAAGTTGACTTTGGGGTTAATTTTGGGTGTGTTTCTATGTTTAAATAGTACTTGGGTTTTTCTATAAATACATGTCTAGAATTGGGTTTATTTATAAATTTGTATAAATCTTATGCATGTATTGCTAGTGAACGGTATGAGGCTAACAGGATCTCTAACTTTAAAGCCTTCTTCACTGGATTCCTTTTGGCTGGCTTTAATTTGAATGTGGATGGTAGCTTTGGAGGTGGAATGAAAAGAATTTGTGTAGAAGGCTTTATAAGAAACTTGGGCTATGTTTGAGGGTATATTATTAATATATAAAATGTGTTATAACATGTAACACCACGTCGTGTCACGGTCTCGCTGGGTGAAAAAGATTGAAGTTGAATGTGATTTTGAGGCAGATTGAAGTTGAATGTGAGTTTGAGGCTGTCTTCATGGTTAAGAAATGCGTTCAGTGTCACCTATTCAGGGCTTGATTCCCTCTTGCGTATGGAGCGATGCACGTCATTAAGAAATAGTCCATTGCAACTCCAATAGTCGACAAATTTTCATCAATTTTTTTACTTCTAACTAAAACCCAATTTCAAAAAATAATGAAAAATAAATCTGTTGGTGTGAGCTATAATTCAAGAATCCCGTGATCTCTGATTTTCTGGTGTAATTCACGATACTTAATTAGAATAATTACCTAGTTAGGATTCCTTGTAATTAGCTAATTATTTTTCTTTGTAGAAAAGTCAACTTGTATTTGTATATTCTCATCTTTGAGAAATATAATATCAATTAAAGTTATAGATCATGTTAGCCGTGCGTCTTTGTCCAGTTAGCCATGCGCCTTTATCCTGATAGCCTTGCCCCTCTAATCCTTCTCTTGATTAACCGGCTCTGATACCAACTCAAACTAAACCCCGGTCTCTCAAACAAAAATACAAACCCTACCCATTGACATCCTCTAGCACCGAGTACAAAAAAAACAAAAAAACCTAGTGCGGCAAAAGACTCCTACAACACCAACCCATCTAAACTTGTTCTCTCTCCTCCATGGCTTTCGAAGATACCCCAGACAACCACACCGTAGCCGCAAAATTCAGTGCTTCCAGTGCTTCAAAAACCCTCAAAAATTTTGACATGGCGCAACCAATTGTTACAGTTCGCAATGATACTTCCACTACCCCATTCACTATACAGTTGAATGGAAAGAACTATAGCACTTGGTCGAAGATGATGTTGCTTCATGTGTCAGGCAAGGGAAAAAGAGGTTATCTGACAGGGAATGCAGCTCAAGTGAAGAAAGATGCTCCGGGCTTTGATTCGTGGTGTATTGAGGACTCCATTGTTAAAGGATAGTTGATAAAAACCATGGAACCTGATTTGGTAGAATTGTTCTTAGATCTACCAACAGCTAAAGATATTTGGGAGAGTACAGCCCAAATGTATTATGACGCATTGTTGAGTCGCAGATTTATGAATTACGGTGTAAAGCAACTTGTATTACTCAAGCAAGTCGTGATATTGCATCCTACTTTGTTGAGCTAAAGAGCTTTTGGTTGGAACCAGACCATCGTTGTCCAATCAACATTAAGTGCCCTGATGATGTGAGGATCACTTAGTGGTAGTTATGAGAATTTTGAGTTATTTAAAGAAAGCTCCAAGCCGAGGCATGATATTCTGAAAACTAGGACATTTGGATGTCAAAGGTTATACAAATGCAGATTGGGCAGACATTTGTAGGGATTTTTTTTGTTCCAACAGCCTGACGAATGGGCTTGGGCTGCCGTAAGAAGAAAAGAAACAAAATTCCCCAAGTGTCTGAGTTCGAAAACCAAGCCCCCAAAAGAGTTTTTGAAAAGTCTGATGAAACTTTAGAAAAACACTCTTAGGTTCTTTTCACCAATAGCCAAATAAACATGATAAATCGATTAATGGCTTAGCTTGAGAAGCTTGTGGCATGGGAGTTAAGCTTCACAAGTTTAGCAAATTTGAGAGAGAGAAAAGGCATGAATTTCTTGTGGAGAACTATGATCTAGAGCAAGGTAGAGGAAAATTAGCACGATTTCTATCTTAAAGAAAGAAGGAAAACAAACTAAGAAGAAGATTGGGTGGCTTGAGTAAATTTTCAGTTGCTTGACAAAGCTTGGTCAGGCTTTGAATGGGTTGTTTTCCTAGGTAGCAGAAGCCCTCTTTTATAGGCACAAAGAACCCTAATTTCATCTAACCCTTTCCTTTCTTTTTCGTTGCTTCTTTCCACATAATCTTCTTTAGTGAAATTCTCCCATCCAAGGTGCATAGGTAAGGAGCTCTTTGTGGTTCGAAGGTTTTGGCATAGCTCTTTCTCCGTAGAGGTGAAGCGCCACTAACTTTCTTCTCGATCTTTCCCATGCGAGCTAACAGAGAAAAAGGGGGAATGGACATACTGTTTACCCAACGAGTAAACCTCTCGCGCGCATGGATTTCCTCTGGTTTTTGTGTTGGCTTCCGTTGACTCCTTTGGGCAAAGGCTGAACGTGTTTGCTAGATATTTTATAGAGTGTTGGGCTGGGCTTTTCCCCAAGGCTTTGGGTTGGTGATATTCTACTCTACAGCGACTGGTCAGCTTGTTTTCGTCAAGCTGCTGGAAGCAGTTTGCCTGTTGCGTTTTTAACAAAGTATTTGGGCATTCTAATTAACATAGGGTCTTCTAAGCAAACTACTGTATTCTTCCTAAGGCATTGGGTCATGTTCTCTCTCTCATGCTAGCCCATGTGTTTAGGGCTAAGAAATGGGCTTGAGTTTTGGTGCTCCCAAGTAGCCCAAAATTCTCATTCCTTGATCCCTCAAATGGGCCTTGTGTACACTTGTACCCATCCACACAACAACATTCTCAGCAAGCCCAGGGTAATTTTGTGGCTTGGGCCCACTAAAGCTTGTGGCATAGCTTGGTGTTAGAATAATGTCTCTTCTTGCATGACACCTACGCTTGTGCTTGAGTTTTATTATGCAGTGATAGGTTATAATCGGGCCAAGTAACACCGAATGGGTATGTGAGCGTGATTTTGTACAGTTGGCATGCTCTTGGCTCTTTTGCACGTTCTTGCTTGACCTGACGTGGCCCGTAGCTTGTATCGGTGCATCCGACAAATTCTCTTTTGTCCCGATTGAGCTTCTTTTGCGTTCAATTATCTGTATTGGGCTAAGAATTAATCTGGGTTTAGCCCCTTAGATTTTTGGGCCTCAACAACAATATAACATATAGACGTTCTACATCAGGTTACTTCACTTTCATTGGGGGTAATTTGGTTACATGGCAAAGTAAGAAGCAGAATGTAGTGGCTTAATCTTTAGTTGAGGCAGAATACAGGGGCACAGCACATGAAGTTTTTGAGCTTCTTTGGCTAAGGATACTCCCGTCCAAAATTGGTTTTCCATCAAAGAAAGTCATGGAGCTTTACTGTGACAACCAAGCTGCGAGAGAGATAGCAAATAATCCAGTTCAACATGACATAACTAAGCATGTTGAAGTGGACATGCATTATATCAAGGAGAAGCGGGTAGATAAGCTAATCGATATACCATTTGTAAAGTCAAAAGAATAGTTGGCAGATGTCTTAATGCATGTCATGTCAACAAAGGTTTTTCACAACTCGACAAGTTGGGCATAAGAGATATCTACGCACCAACTTAAGGAAGAGTGTTGGCGTGAGCCATAATTCAGAGATCTGTGATCCTTGATTTCCTGGTATAATTCACGTTACCTAATTAGAATAATTACCTAATTAGGATTCCTTGTAATAGCTAATTAAATTTACATGTAGGAAAAGTCAACTTATACCTGTATATATCTCCTCATCTTCGAGAAATATAATAACAATCACAATTATTCAATCTTGTGTTTAATTTGAGCAAATCTCCTGTATGCACCCTATTCCTTGGATGACAAGCCAATCGAACTCATCATTGGAAAAGTTCTTTTCTGCTTAGTTTTTCCTTACTTATGGTGGCTAGAGCATCGGCCCATAATAGCAAATTTACACGTGGAACTTTTTATGTGTGTGTAATTTATAAACAAGATCTTGAAGGGAGCATATTAAAAGTGAAAGCAGCAATCATGTTCCTTTTGGATAAAATACATTAACTCACTATTAAAATTTACATGCAGCTTTGATTTCTAGGATTCCCATAATTTGTATGCTGTACTTGAAAAGAAAAAAGCTTATATCCAATGCTGTCTACACACAGCTTTCAGAATCGTGGTAAGCAAAAGGTTTGCCGGTAATCGATGCTTCGAGCACATTGTCTTGAAATGATGATGTCACTGATCATGTTCATCTGCATTACACATAATTGCAGATCTTGATTATTGATCCGTTTCTGGGATGTTGCAGTGATAGCAAATGATTCCACCAGCCAAGAGTGGTGGCTGAATCAATTATCGAATTTGAATCAAGCGTGATGGATATGCCAAGTCATTTTCTTCGTCGGATGTGGCAAGGGAAATTTCAGGATCCTAGTGCACATGAACCAACAAATTCAGCTGTCAGTTTCAATAAGAATTAATGGTCTGCTTATTCCAGATCCACTGTATTGTATAATGAAAAGCAATGCTTACACAGATGATCAATGTCATGCGCATACGATGATTTCTACAAATATTATATTAACTTAATACCAGAACAGAAGTGCGTAAGAGACAAAACTATGATAAGATTCATGATTTCTATGGAATTGCATTAACTTGTTACAGGCAAAAACACGTGCACACACAGGAAGTAATAGTGGAAGTCATGGATGCTGCTCAGTGTTTCAATAAAATGATGAAGTGAATCCGACATGGTTAATGAGTTCTTATATGACTAACCTGTTGACGCCGCTGACGTTGGATAGCAGTGAATGCTCTAACCATGATATAGATTGGAAATAGAATCCCAATCGTTCTCAACATCAGTAACTGCAGCATAATGAAGATATCAATATGTTTCTTTTACATTTTCCTGAAGAGCATTTCATCCTTAAAAAGGAAAAAGAAAACTGCGCTAGCCAAACTTACTGTGAACAATGTCAATGAGTACTCTCCAGCTCCGCTTATTAAGAATGGAAGAGTATGGCGTAAAACCAGAAGAACCATAAACTGAAAATAAACAAATACGTAAGCACATGCTGTAAAATATGGTGAAATACAGAAGTCCAAAATACCAATTATTTGAAATTTATCAGACTTGACATATCATATTATTTTATGGCTAAAATTCAGAACACAAAAATTCTCCATTAGTTTCAAAAGAATCCCAAAGGTCATTGGGTAGCGTATTCCACCTTAGACAAAATGGCCATGTACAATTTCGAAATATGATACGGTTTGTTTATAAGAAATTATATTCAGACTTAAATGATCAGAAGAGAGATTCATTTATTCAAGTTTCATGATTATATGTTCTGCCAAATATATGTTTTCGTCAAGCTGCTGGAAGCAGTTTGCCTGTTGCGTTTTTAACAAAGTATTTGGGCATTCTAATTAACATAGGTTCTTCTAAGCAAACTACTGTATTCTTCCTAAGGCATTGGGTCATGTTCTCTCTCTCATGCTAGCCCATGTGTTTAGGGCTAAGAAATGGGCTTGAGTTTTGGTGCTCCCAAGTAGCCCAAAATTCTCATTCCTTGATCCCTCAAATGGGCCTTGTGTACACTTGTACCCATCCACACAACAACATTCTCAGCAAGCCCAGGGTAATTTTGTGGCTTGGGCCCACTAAAGCTTGTGGCATAGCTTGGTGTTAGAATAATGTCTCTTCTTGCATGACACCTACGCTTGTGCTTGAGTTTTATTATGCAGTGATAGGTTATAATCGGGCCAAGTAACACCGAATGGGTATGTGAGCGTGATTTTGTACAGTTGGCATGCTCTTGGCTCTTTTGCACGTTCTTGCTTGACCTGACGTGGCCCGTAGCTTGTATCGGTGCATCCGACAAATTCTCTTTTGTCCCGATTGAGCTTCTTTTGCGTTCAATTATCTGTATTGGGCTAAGAATTAATCTGGGTTTAGCCCCTTAGATTTTTGGGCCTCAACAACAATATAACATATAGACGTTCTACATCAGGTTACTTCACTTTCATTGGGGGTAATTTGGTTACATGGCAAAGTAAGAAGCAGAATGTAGTGGCTTAATCTTTAGTTGAGGCAGAATACAGGGGCACAGCACATGAAGTTTTTGAGCTTCTTTGGCTAAGGATACTCCCGTCCAAAATTGGTTTTCCATCAAAGAAAGTCATGGAGCTTTACTGTGACAACCAAGCTGCGAGAGAGATAGCAAATAATCCAGTTCAACATGACATAACTAAGCATGTTGAAGTGGACATGCATTATATCAAGGAGAAGCGGGTAGATAAGCTAATCGATATACCATTTGTAAAGTCAAAAGAATAGTTGGCAGATGTCTTAATGCATGTCATGTCAACAAAGGTTTTTCACAACTCGACAAGTTGGGCATAAGAGATATCTACGCACCAACTTAAGGAAGAGTGTTGGCGTGAGCCATAATTCAGAGATCTGTGATCCTTGATTTCCTGGTATAATTCACGTTACCTAATTAGAATAATTACCTAATTAGGATTCCTTGTAATAGCTAATTAAATTTACATGTAGGAAAAGTCAACTTATACCTGTATATATCTCCTCATCTTCGAGAAATATAATAACAATCACAATTATTCAATCTTGTGTTTAATTTGAGCAAATCTCCTGTATGCACCCTATTCCTTGGATGACAAGCCAATCGAACTCATCATTGGAAAAGTTCTTTTCTGCTTAGTTTTTCCTTACTTATGGTGGCTAGAGCATCGGCCCATAATAGCAAATTTACACGTGGAACTTTTTATGTGTGTGTAATTTATAAACAAGATCTTGAAGGGAGCATATTAAAAGTGAAAGCAGCAATCATGTTCCTTTTGGATAAAATACATTAACTCACTATTAAAATTTACATGCAGCTTTGATTTCTAGGATTCCCATAATTTGTATGCTGTACTTGAAAAGAAAAAAGCTTATATCCAATGCTGTCTACACACAGCTTTCAGAATCGTGGTAAGCAAAAGGTTTGCCGGTAATCGATGCTTCGAGCACATTGTCTTGAAATGATGATGTCACTGATCATGTTCATCTGCATTACACATAATTGCAGATCTTGATTATTGATCCGTTTCTGGGATGTTGCAGTGATAGCAAATGATTCCACCAGCCAAGAGTGGTGGCTGAATCAATTATCGAATTTGAATCAAGCGTGATGGATATGCCAAGTCATTTTCTTCGTCGGATGTGGCAAGGGAAATTTCAGGATCCTAGTGCACATGAACCAACAAATTCAGCTGTCAGTTTCAATAAGAATTAATGGTCTGCTTATTCCAGATCCACTGTATTGTATAATGAAAAGCAATGCTTACACAGATGATCAATGTCATGCGCATACGATGATTTCTACAAATATTATATTAACTTAATACCAGAACAGAAGTGCGTAAGAGACAAAACTATGATAAGATTCATGATTTCTATGGAATTGCATTAACTTGTTACAGGCAAAAACACGTGCACACACAGGAAGTAATAGTGGAAGTCATGGATGCTGCTCAGTGTTTCAATAAAATGATGAAGTGAATCCGACATGGTTAATGAGTTCTTATATGACTAACCTGTTGACGCCGCTGACGTTGGATAGCAGTGAATGCTCTAACCATGATATAGATTGGAAATAGAATCCCAATCGTTCTCAACATCAGTAACTGCAGCATAATGAAGATATCAATATGTTTCTTTTACATTTTCCTGAAGAGCATTTCATCCTTAAAAAGGAAAAAGAAAACTGCGCTAGCCAAACTTACTGTGAACAATGTCAATGAGTACTCTCCAGCTCCGCTTATTAAGAATGGAAGAGTATGGCGTAAAACCAGAAGAACCATAAACTGAAAATAAACAAATACGTAAGCACATGCTGTAAAATATGGTGAAATACAGAAGTCCAAAATACCAATTATTTGAAATTTATCAGACTTGACATATCATATTATTTTATGGCTAAAATTCAGAACACAAAAATTCTCCATTAGTTTCAAAAGAATCCCAAAGGTCATTGGGTAGCGTATTCCACCTTAGACAAAATGGCCATGTACAATTTCGAAATATGATACGGTTTGTTTATAAGAAATTATATTCAGACTTAAATGATCAGAAGAGAGATTCATTTATTCAAGTTTCATGATTATATGTTCTGCCAAATATAGGTTGCCCGATATAAAGATCAGAGTGTTCTGTTTAAGATGTCGGAAATTCTGTAGCATTTTTCTATTTTCCCTTGCTATCAAAATGCACCTGAGAGAGAGAGAGAGAGAGAGAGAGAGAGAGAGAGAGAGATTACGATGATAGCAACTACACGGCAGCATATCAAGCTTCTTGAAGAGGGAGCTGAGTATTCATCATCAAAGTCGGTATTCATATATTCATGATCAGCAGTAACCATTGCTATAAATTGAGGATTCTGCAGATCCCTTCTGGAAATCTCCCAATTCCCCCTAAGATGGTAACAACAATTTGAGTATAACTTTTATGATTCTCAATGAGTTTATAATTCTCAATGAGTTATAAGTGATCCTTTGTTGAAGCAAAATAGAAAACCTTGAGTGTATAATGGATGGGGAGAGAGATACCGGAAGTTCATCGGAATACCACTATAATAAAATAGAGGAGGTGGTGCTGTATAATCTGGCGTGAATTGCTGCAATTTCACAATCAACAGGAAAAAGGAAAGTCCCCCCAGTTTAATAAGGTCATAAAACATAACTAAAGTCTGAAACATGTTCAGTTAAACAATGGCATACCTGGTGGCAAATCTCACATATTGTATCACCCTTCTCATTGCACCACCTCTGAACACATTTACGATGAGCATACTGCAAAATATGAATATCAAGTAAATAAATGACTGCAATATAAATCCAATTGAATACTTGCCATGGCCAGAAAGCAGGCGCCAGAGAAAGGGGAAGACAAAGAAAATAGCTGTTTTGGTAAATCCCTCTGATGTGTAATAGTACTTGATGGAATGAAAAAATAAGCTACTAAAAAACAACTTGACATGACCATCTGTATCATACTCAGTAAACCATGGCCACAATCAGGAGTCCAAACTTGGTTGAGAGTTATTACTTGTGGTACGGTCTTGCTTCTTATACTATATATTCCAAATTATTCCAGAAGATTTTTCCTATGCCACTTTCAACATGTTTTGATCCGAAGTAGACATATTATCCAGAAATTAAATCAACGTCTTCAAGATTCTGGATATTATATATCTATACATATACATACATGCCCTTATAATATGATGCTTGAAAAGAAATTCAGAATTCATAAATTTGAAAATCTTATAGTTCAAAGTGCAGTTTTCCCTGCTACTACGAAATCAGTTGACTATTTAACTCTCGTTAAAAATGATGTTCTGCTTCAAACTTGATTTGAACATTTTTTAAAGCCTAAATCAGAGTACAATATCCATAAAGGAACTATATTGCAGTGTGTTCGACTGAACTCATAGAGACATGGCTTCTCAATTTTTTGGTCTGTGTTCCCAAACTTTTAATTCGGTAACATAAACCACTAATTTAAGAGGGATATTCATACTGAGGGAACTGTAATTCTAAAGTAGAAGCCCAATTATTGAAGTTTGGCAAACAACATGGACCATCATCATTAAGCATATTGACAGTAATTATAAACACCATAAAGTAGGAAAAGATGGGTAGCCTAGCTAGAAAATTAAATAATTGAGATTTCTGTGTAAGAATATTGTTTATAAGCAAGGGGATGAATTTGATGAAGAGAATCAATGACGCAAGACATAAGTTTTTCAACTTTGAAGCAATAGAAATGAATATTTATGAGTTTGATCAAACTAAATAAAATTTTATTTAAAAAAAAAGGGGACTACTTGGTCGTAGAATTATGTGGGCACTGTCATTAACATCGATGCATGAGAAAGAAGTTTAGAGGAAACAAGAGATTCAGTCCAGTCTTTAAAAAGCAAACACGAGAAGAAGTTTCAACAGAAAAGCCAGTGCACAACTGACCTTCAAGCTGCCACAGCAAGAACATGGTGTTTCCATGTTTGAATCATCATCCTCATCATGGCAAATCCTACACTGTACAAATTTACTAGAAGATGACCCATTCACATCTATTTTATGGGAAGAGTCCATAGTATCTTGGCTTGCTGTGAGTGTTGGGTGCTGCAACTGATATGTGCTCTCTATAACAGCTTCTAGGGTAGATTCAGTGATCAGTCGATCAACAAACAACACAAAATGATCCCCCATCCTTTAAATTACAAAAGAAAATCACTTTAGAATCATCTAAGCAACCTAACTGGAACTTCACATTTCAATTTCCACCAAAAGTTAGAACTAAAATATCACCATAACTCCGTATAATTTCAAAACAATAAACCATTAAAACAATCCAGTAAAGGAAATATAAATCTGCAACAGAAACTGAAGCCCTTAGACAAATGAAAAGAGGAAAGAACAAAGAAAATAAAATACGAAGTATAAGAAGCAAAAAATTGTGAAAAAAAAAATGATGAAAATGAAAAGCCAAATGTTCTGTTCTAATTGATGGGACAACTTAGGATACTGAAAGGCCACCTAAACAAATCTTAAAGCTCATACTGTTTCTTCATATGATAAATAAAACCTCCACTTGATCAAGCAGATATTGAAAGTAATAATTTTCTCTCATTTCAACCGTCTACTCAGAACAAAAGAGCAGGAACACTAAATATCCATGCACAAAAAGACAGAACATATCTCATAGAGCGCTAAGAAATTTGCAAATAGTTCAACTAAGAAGCAAGAAAGGTTGGGAATATCACCTCTAACACAGTCAAAAGAATGTTAGCATCGCTATAGAAACGAACCCTAGTCATCAAAAGAAAAAGAAGTGAGACAAAAATAACTGTGGAACAAGATGAAACCAGATCTTCTAATCTTGAAATTCAGCTACTCGAAGACGAATATTTATATAATTTAAAGATGAAGAAAGATCCAACACAAAAATCCAAAACATTGGTTTCCTCCCTTTCACTCTGTTTTCTCAGGAATTAAAGGAATTTTCTGAAACCATTGAGCAACCATCAATGCAACCATGAAACCTAATTATCAATGCATCAAAATAATTATCCATACATTGTGAAAACAAATACTAAAGAATGACGAGAAGAATCCCAAAAAAGGAGGTAGAGGCAAAGGAGCAACACTCAAGCTGCATCAAGATCAATAAAGGACCATCAGGCACGAAAGGGAAAAAGGAAAGGAAAATAGGAGAGGTAAAGCCGAGCAACAAACAAAAAAGGGGAAAGATATCAAAAGTCAATGTACCTTTTTGTGAAAAAATGAGAAGCTATAATGGATAGGGATTAAAAGCAGAAAATGCAGCTGTAGGAAGTCGAACAGAATATAGTTGACAACAAAAAATTAACGACATTGAAATGACACAAGGAAAACCCAACAGAAAAAATGCAATATAAAATTATCCAAAGAAAAAGAAAAAGATTTGATCTTTTTTGTTAATTCTTTTTTTTTTCAAAAGAAAAAAAAAAGAAAACCCAGAAACCAAAAACTTGGAAGAACTGCCCAAATCAAATACAACACCAGAAATGCACAATGTGAGAGAGAGGTTAGAAAATGATATGCCCACAAAAATAAATGACGTTAAGGTATGATTGATTGGCATGTGGGAAAGATTAAATGAGAGAGAGAGGGAAGCTTACAAGAATAGGAATGGGATTCTCTGCAATGGAAGAAAGGAAGAAAGCAGCAATCTTTTGCCTTGTAGCTTGTGTATCTTGAAACGACGAAGCAAGAGATGGAGTGTTGTCGTAGTACACACTACAGTATTTCAAATTTACAACAACAATAATATTAATAAAATCACCAACACAACACCCAAAAATCCATTAGAAAGAAAGCAAGCATTTTTCTTGTTTTGGGTAGAGAAGCGAAGAAACCAAGCATTTAAGGGACATTGTACTTGTACGCACGAGTCTGTAGAAATGGGAGAGAGTGGGACGAAGAGGGAAAGGTGAGAGAGAGAGAGAGAGAGAGAGAGAGAGAGATTCTAACCGCAAATGAGAAAATAACCCCACCACGCCACACTCACATCTCATCCCACTCTTCCTCTTCTTCCTCCTCTCACCGATTTCCTCGTTTTCTTTTTACTTTTTAGTCATTCAATTTCTCTCTCACCATATTTTTTTTTGTCGTGTTGCTCAATTATCGTGAGTTTGGTTGCGTTAAGTTGGGGATGGTACTGAAAAAGGGTGAACAAGTGTTTGACAGGGTAGTACTACTGAAACATCTCTCCAAATAATTTCAGCAATGCATTGACAATGTCGGTATAATATCTCACAAAATTAGGAGATTTAATAAGAGGTAGTTGAGTGGAAATTTTGGTCAAGTTTTCGGTGAATTTCAGTGCAATTTTGATCCTATGAAACCTTGCAATTTCTAGTCAATATTCCACAAAGTGTGATTTGAAATTCAAAGGCAACAAAAGAAAAATGTTGCAACTGTTCCCTCCAAGTGACTCGCAATGTTCCTTTAACCAAAGTTTTGTGATTGACATTGCCTCTCACTGTCAAATCAATCAAAACAACATGATACTTTTAAAAAATAACAGGCCGATTAAGCCTAAAACTTATCTCATACTCTTGAGGTATCATATGATTTTATAAAGTATATAAAACATGGAATTGAACAGAGAAAATATATTCTACACATTGTATTAAGATTTAAAGTTCATAGTCTTATCCTAAGGTTCAGTGCATAAATGCCAATTGTTTTCCACCTTACATGCAAATTTTGTTTCCAAAGAAACTATTTTATTAATTCGTTTTGAAGATTTTTTTTTTTTTTTTTTTTAAGTGGAGTGAAAATTGGAGTGTAATTATCATATTTCCTCAATTTTATGTTGAGTTTTAGGGCTGCTTGTTTTGTGATTGCTATACCTTGCAAGACTAAGGATGCTTTATCTCCATTTTCAGAAGGGGCCAGAAAGAGGCGCAAAACAAATGAATACGATTAAAATCATAAGTAAAATTCTAAGTGAATTAAAATCATAAGTAAAATCATGTAATTACAATCTATTAAAATCATGAGTAAAATCATACAATTACAAATCCGGCTGAATTCCATTACATTAAAATCATGTAATTACAATATATTAAAATCTCAATTGAATACCCCCGGAAAACTGTGGGGCCTTGCTACTAGAAGGCTCAAATAGCAAACAATTTCTTGAGATATGCATGAAACATTCCGTGTGCTAACTTAAAAACTTGAAGGAGAAACACCAAATGAAACCGTTTTTCAATAGTTCGAAAGTAGTCTGTATATTGGAAAGAATTTGAGGTCCAAGCTCTATTTCAAAACAATATGTAGAAGTATACAATTATATAGACCGAAAGGGAGAAGACAGCAATAATATGCTGCCAGAAGAGGAGTGCAGAAGCCTCTCTGACTGCATAACCCCTCAAGCTTGCAACTGCTCCTAACAAGATAGCACTTGGTGTGGTGTATTGCAGCAAAAGAACGAACCGGTACAATGGATCATCGGCAATCAAAATGTTCAATTTATCAGCCAATAGAGTCACACCAATTCCAATCAAAGGAAGTAACAAAAGCCTTGCAACAATAATCCCAATTGTAGTTCTCATTCCTAGATTTGATTCGTTTGGACCTTCAGCCAGCATGCCTCCAAGAACAAGCACGGCCGAAGGCACCATGGCCTCAGCTAGAATTCCCAAGCTGTCTGTGATGAATGAAAGGATTTGATCATCATCAAAAACCCAAGATTTCAACTTAGGAATCATGCCAATGATAATGGCTAAAAGAGAAGCAATTGTTGGGGGCTGAAGAATGCCATGAATTGGTGTCATCCCAGCAACAGATCTGATTTTCCTCACCATTCTAGGCTCTGCCATACACTTGGTACTTCTTGGCTGATCTCCCTTCTTCTCCTTCTCCTCCTCCTCGCCGCTGAAATCCGGAATAGCGGTGTGGGAAAGTATAGAATTGCTGCTATTAAAAAGTCTTGCAATAAAGGGTGTCTTGCAATGCTCAATTTCCTTATCTTCCATTCCAGGCCATTCAGCCTCAACAAGAAGTGGCCTAGTGAGATCATTTTCATTTCCATTTTCATTGCCGTTGTCGTTGCCATTGCCATTAGACCCCAATTCCTCAATCTCATGATATTCCTCTTCCTCAACAACAACTTCATAAGCACTTCTACTAGATTCCAAGGTGGGCTCCATCATGTGATAAACAAGTGTATAAACAAGAATAACAGAAACCCATTGGGAAAAAGATACATATGCCACACCAGCCTCAGTGCAGTCATCTTCAGTACCAAAAGGGTTATCATCACTGTGGCAAACAGAGGCCACAATTGCAAGAGGAAGATTACCTGTGTTTCCAAATGCAGTCATGATTATGGTAAATCTAAAAAATTCAGGTGGTGGCCTACAAATTATTGCTACCAAAATCCCCAAAACAAACCCAATTGTGGTACTTATAACAACATTTACAGGAATGAACCACCAATTCAGCAAGTTCTTTAAAGTGATGGATGGACCAAGATTGGTGAAGATCAAGCAGGGCAAAAAGACAGCAAACACCAGCTTACTGAGAAATGTGAAAGTGGCTTTTGGGACAAGTTGGTATTTTGGGTGAGCAAGAAGTAAACCAATGGCAGCCATACAAAGGAGCTTCAATAAAGGCAGTACTGCACTTAGGAGCAAACCTCCTTTGAGAGTGTTTCCGTGCATTGAAGCAAGGAAAAAATCCATTGTTTTGTTGCTTTCAATGGAAACCCAAGAAATTCAGAAATCAGAAGAATTGTACTGAGCAAAACTTGGATCAAACACCTCTTATAAATTCAGAAATCACAAGAATTGATCACAATAAGATCTCATAACAAGCATGAAATTAACTTAATCTGACCTGTGTTTTGAGATGTGGGCTGTTTGTGACCTTCCAATTTGAAGCAATCATTTGATTGGTGGTTTGAGCTTTTATACAATTCACCTACATCAACGACTTTTCACATTAACCAAATAATCAATTACATTAAAAAAAAATAGTAAAAGCTGTAGTCTAAATTTTAAGAGAGTAGGATTTCTCACACACACATGCTACTATAATGCTATAGTGATTCGAACCCGAAACTATTAGTTTGCAAGCGAATGTCATTTTCCATTGTAATAAACCCAGTCGACCAATTCCATTATTTTAATATTCAGACAATGAGAGAGTTTAAAAAATAAATTAATTTTGGGACAACCAGAGGGTTGAAAACGAATATCCAATAATGCATAAGATTTGAAGCGTAACATACAATCAGAGTCAGACCTTTGAAGATCATATCACATGATGCACGTGATATGTTCCATAATTGTGGTGGCTATTAAAAAAACATATATATAAATCTGAGATCTTTTCCATTATAAATAGAGTTATTTAGTTGTATATTCATTCTTAGCACTAATTATATAAATAAACCTTACACCATTTCATTTCTATAAACAACTCCAAAAAAAACTTGTGGTCCTATTTAATTTAATTTTAATTATTAAATTACTTTAATACCCTATTGAGTGTTTTGAGTTTTTTATGAGGTTTTGAGGTTGGACTTATTTTAAGAAATTGATGGCAATTCTGTAATTTATAAGAAGTTAAAAGTCTCTTTGTTATGTTGTAAATGGACTTTAGGTGTATTTCTAAAGTCTATTTCGTATAAGATTTTTTTATTTATAAAATTTGAGCTCTTATATTGAATATAATAGTAAATCTCCTAAAATATAATTCATAAATTTTTTGGGATCTTTTGAGAAAAAGACCTTTTCCATTAGTAGATGAGGTAGCGCTTAAAATAAACGTGGTACTCCAACCGAAAAAAGTATAAAGTCAATAAAAAGAAGCAAAAGCAATACGTAATTTGATTTTTTTAAAGCCGTGACAGTGAATCATCGGAAAAAAAAAATACAAAATATGTGGGGTCAAAATTAAACGAGAGAACTTATCTTCAAGTTAGCACAATTATTGGGGGCAATTAGTTTTTGTTTTGTTTTTTGTTGAAGGGGGCAATTAGTTATAAGTAATATTATATAAAGTTTAGTTGCTCATCAAACAATTATTTGGGGTATATTAAATATATATATATGTGCACTTTTTTCTATCAGATAAAATAAAGTATCAAATTAGAGAATGCTTTTATGAGGACATTTCCTATTGAGAGGAGCGATAACATATTAAACTCATATATACTACACAAATTCTAGAACTTGAACCTATAACATTTCTTGGGGGAGCAATTACTTCAACCACTAAACTAGTGGGTCTTTTGCAAGGGACTTGTAGCTTAAATGGTTAAGAATATTTACTGTTGCACTTGAGGTCCTGGATTTGTTTCTTGAGAGGGCCTTATTTAAGTCCCTTAGAAGAGTTCCTATCTCTTAACCGTTAAATCAAATTGGTTAGTCATTGATCAAATTAGTTAGTTTGATCCAATGGTTAAGAGATAGAGCATCATCTAAGGACTAAGGCCCTCACTATAGAATGACTCAGAAAGTCCAATGCCGAGCCATATAGAGAATCCATTACATGAAAAGCCCCAAAAAAAATAAAAAAATTAATGCAGCCTTATCCAACTTGTGGAGGAAAAGTTGTGTAAGAAATTTCTATATAATAATATTTTATGTCGCTCACATGAATGGCCTATATGTTACACAAATTATTTGCTATTATAAGGGTTTAATAAATATTATTCATAAGAATTATATTGGTCAAATTAAGAGAAGTAGTTTCCTATTCTACTTCCATCATGGTTGGTACTTACTGTTTGGGCCAAAAATTGACACACCCAGCCCAGCAAAAAGATGGAAGCCCGAAAAACCAGAAGAGTCCAGCCCAAGGCTCATCAGAGCAAACAAGGCTGATTTGGGCCTCATAGGCCCAAAATAGGAAGAGGGAGCCCAGAAGTAGGAACAATCCCACGTGGCAACCTCTGGGATAAAAAAAAGTCAGCAATGGCAACATCTGGGATAAAAAAGTCAGCAATGGCGGAAGTCAGCAATGGCAACTGCCATAGAAGAAGTGATTGAAGGGTTCATGACATCAAGTTGATTCTGAAGAACTGAAGATCAAATCCCTCTTATATATGTATATTCAGAGATTTTTCTTCTGTCTTCTCAGAGAAGGTAATTCTCCCAAGAAGATAAGCAAGTTACAATCTCAGAGAGGGATAAGCAGGAAAGCAGGGAGCTGTCCAGAAAAGGAATCAAACTAACCATCACGGGTAAAATATCACAAGGGGCAGTAGAAATTGGGAAAGAGATTAGGTTCCTTTTCAAGAAAATCAGGGAAGTGATTGCCTATTTGAGAGCCTATCTGCCAAAACTGAAGAAGAAGAGGAAAAGGGGGGAAA